TTTGATGCTGAATAATCTCCCAGATCGATTTTTTGAAACTTCGAATTAAATAATATGTATTCATCTCTCCTTTTCCTTTAATTTGAGTCTTTCCACGACCTTCGAACTCAAAGCGGCCAGTTTTTTGAGCACAACTGAAAAATTATCAATGAAATATGATTATCAACTTTAAATCTTCAATCTATAGCTGCTGATCTAGAAAATTATTTATTAGGTTGTTCGGATATCAACGAGCGTTTGTACTGCTTAACTTGTGAGGAAATGGCTCGTGATGAAGCCATTTCCCGCATCTGATCGTCTTTCCAATGACATGAAGATGCTCATTAATAGAATTTGAGCATAGAAACTGTTGAGCAAGTTCATGCGTTGTTTGACATGGATCCGATTCGATTGCAGCCCTCAAAGTGTCGTTGTCTACCGTTTGAGGTCGATGAGGAGGTCATGGTCGACCAGAGTGTTCCTCTGGTCGACCATGACGACCAGAGTGTTCCTCTGGTCGGCCTCGAGATCATCCTCGAGACTTTCATCACCATTCCAAAAGCGTTGGAGCCAGGATCGGCTTTCGGACAAAACATCATTTCTAAATGCTTTGACCAAAAGCTCGAGGGACCTTGTTATTCCACCATACTGAGAGCATGACCTTTTTCCCATGAATGTCCGGTTTCACGATCGGATTTGGCCGTTCTCCTGGTCCTAGTCATTTCCGTTTTCGAATAGTATCATCGAAATGGATCCTCATCTCCAGTAACGAGAGAATCAAAAAAGCCATGATCTTTAGCGTGGCGGATGAGGATTCCGGCAATAGCGACCCGTGAAGCCTTGTTTGCACTGCTAACTCGTGAAGGAAGCCATTTCCCGTATCAGATCGTCTTTCCAATGGCGTAGAGATGCTCATTAATAGTAGAATTTGAACATAGAAACTGTTGAGCAAGTTCGTTTGACATTCGATTCGATTGCAGCCCTCAAAGTATCGTTGTCTACGCTTGAGGTCGACGAGGAGATCATGACGAGAGTGTTCATGATCCTCCAGACTTTCATCACCATTCCGAAAGCGTTGGAGCCAAGCTCGGCATCGGCTTTCGGACAAAACATCATTCCTAAATGCTTTGACCAAATCTCAATGGGATTCCGCTACTGTTTTGCCCAGTTTGAAGTCGTAAAATAGGCTTATTGATAGGTAAAGCAGGCTTATTAATGAGTAAAGTAGGCTTATTGATAAGTAAAATATGCACAAGAAAAATATATAAAATATGCACAAGATAACGTACTTTTAAATACAGAAAGACATTTTTTTAAAAGCTTCTCTCACAACAATAAGTTTAGTAACGCTTGTTTATATCCGAACAACCTAATATGAAATCTAAATGTAATCTTATAGATGAATATCTTTTTATATTTACTTACTTCACAGCACTCTCACTGCAATGAATTCTCCCGACTGGACTGTGCGATTCCATTCGAGAAGCTGTATTTACTGTGTCTCCAAATAGACAATATCTAAAGTTCGGGAATAAATTGGATTACTTTATACTTAAGACAATGATTACTAGTTATCAGAAGCGAAAAATGAAGTTCACCTTGGCATTTTAGCACCAACAACTCCAGCCACAACGGGACCAGAGTGAATCCCAGCTCTGATTTTTAATGGTTTACCTAAATTGTTTATAAATTGTTTATAAATAGTTTATAAATAGTTTATAGGTCGCGTCCGTTTCCTTCCAATACGGTTCCAATACGGTTCCAATACGATTCTAATACGATTCGAATACGGTTCCAATACGGTTCCTATTTTGATCTAATACGGTTCCAATACGGTTCCAATACGTTTCCAATACGGTTCCAATACGGTTTCAATACGGTTCCAATACGGTTTCAATACGGTTCCAATACGGTTCCAATAGGGTTCCAATACGGTTCCAATACGGTTCCAATACGGTTCCTATTTTGATCTAATACGGTTCCAATACGTTTCCAATACGGTTTCAATACGGTTCCAATACGGTTTCAATACGGTTCCAATACGGTTTCAATACGGGTCTAATACGGTTCCAATAGGGTTCCAATACGGTTCCAATACGGTTCCAATACGGTTACAATACGGTTCCTATTTTGATCTAATACGTTTCCAATACGGTTCCAATACGGTTTCAATACGGTTCCAATACGGTTTCAATACGGTTCTAATACGGTTCCAATAGGGTTCCAATACGGTTCCAATACGGTTACAATACGGTTCCTATTTTGATCTAATACGTTTCCAATACGGTTCCAATACGGTTTCAATACGGTTCCAATACGGTTTCAATACGGTTCTAATACGGTTCCAATAGGGTTCCAATACGGTTCCAATACGGTTACAATACGGTTCCTATTTTGATCTAATACGGTTCCAATACGGTTCCAATACGTTTCTAATACGGTTCCAATACGATTATAATACAGTTCCAATAGGGTTCCAATAGGGTTCCAATACGGTTCTAATACGTTTCCAATACGGTTCCAATACGGTTCCTATTTTGATCTAATACGGTTCCAATACGTTTCCAATACGGTTCCAATACGATTCTAATACGGTTCCAATAGGGTTCCAATAGGGTTCTTATTTTGATCTAATACGATTCTAATACGGTTCTAATACGGTTCCAATACGGTTTCAATACGGTTTCAATACGGTACTTCAAAAGTACCTAGGGCCGCGTCCGTTTCCTTCCTATTTGCGTTGCTATTTTGCAATTATTCGCGTCGGATTTTCGTCCTTTTTCTCCCTTTCCGAAATTATTTTTTTTGGTCAGCGGGTTTTTTTTGCCTGGGGGGACTTTGTTGTTTAATCTTTGATGCGCATACTGTTTTTGTAATGGATATTGTTGCATTTCGGTTCTTGCTAATAAACAGTAACGTTATAAATTCACTTTACTTTATGCTACCCTTCAGGTTTTAAATCCTGTTTAGATAACTGGTTTAACATTGTAGAGAGACTGGTTTTGCTAACATTTGTGTCACCATCGACGTAGTATTAATCCGATCTGTACTCTTCTCAAGAGTATTAATCTTATGTTGGACACTACCGTGTTCTTGTTACGTTTTAAGCGCTTTTGGGGGAAACCCTTTTAACCTATTCGACCTATAACCTATAACCTTTTGTGCTATTCGGCTATTCTTAAGCAGAATCATCCTCGTTGATAAGGTTAAAGCGGATCGAACCCCAAACTTATAAATTGTTTATAAATTGTTTATAAATTGTTTATAAATTGTTTATAAATATGTTTATAAATAATTTCTATAATATAATTGTGAATTTATAGCTAAATTAGTCTCTCGTATTGAGAGAAAGCTATGCCAAGGAAATGCTAAGGAAAGAAAAATTGTCTTGGTCGGATTTCAAGCTTGGATTTAGTCTACAACCTTGACTTTGGCTTACTTTCATTGGAAACTCTTTTCTCTGACTCTTTTCCAATTTATGAGCACTGTTTAATCCTAATTTCTTAGAGGAAACTATAGAAAAACTTGAATTCAACACAAAAAAATCTAAAACGGTTAGCGAAAATGCAAAGTTTCTGTTTAGATTACCCCTTTAACTGAATATCTTTTTTTATTCGTTTACTTGCTCACCGGAAACTGGATCAGTGACATTCCTTGCCTCGTACAGCATGCCGAGCGCGAGATGGCAAATGATCTCACAATGAGCCTCGACGATCTCCGGGATTCCACCAACCGACATATAACTGTCACCAACTGTCTCCACTTTGTAGGCCTGAAAATTGGAAGGAATACTGTAACTGTATTGTACTATACTGTACTGTACTGTACTATACTGTACTGTACTGTACTGTACTATACTGTACTGTACTGTACTGTACTATACTGTACTGTACTGTACTGTACTATACTGTACTGTACTGTACTGTACTGACTATACTGTACTGTACTTACTGTACTATACTGTACTGTACTTACTGTACTATACTGTACTTACGACTGACTATACTTACTTACTGTACTGTACTATACTGTACTGTACTGTACTGTACTATACTGTACTGTACTGTACTGTACTATACTGTACTGTACTGTACTGTACTATACTGTACTGTACTGTACTGTACTATACTGTACTGTACTGTACTGTACTATACTGTACTGTACTGTACTGTACTATACGGTACTATACACACAAATCCCTTTCCCAATCTATTGTGTCAAACTAAAGCTAGGCTTGGCTTGGCTATGGCTTTGGCTGGGCTTTGGCTTGGCTATGGTTTTGGCTTGGCTTTGGCTTGGCTTTGACTTGGCTTTGGCAGGGCTTTGGCTGAGCTTTGGCTTGGCTTAGGCTTGGTTTTGGCTTGGCTGGGCTTTGGCTTGGCTTGGCTTAGGCTCAGGCTTAGGCTTTGGCTTAGGCTTGGTCTTGGTTGACTTCTGATTGGTATATTTGTGCCTAGCCAGTTTATCGTAAGCCCCAAGCCTAGGCTAGGCGATTCCTCTGACTTAGAACCTGGTTACAACCCTGGTTCAAAGGTTTAAGCCAGGGCAGGAAATGGATTTTGGAACATAATGAGGCAAAGATTGTGGTCGGAAAGCCTTTAACCAATGTTGGCGTCTTTTGGGAGTTTGACATTGGCTTGATTTTGGTTGAGGATTTTTTGGTTCTGAGCTCTTGAACTCAATGCCAATTTCGACTTGATTTCGAGTTTTTATTTTCCAAACTCGATGGAATGGAAATAAGAAGTTGATCAAAGAAAATTAAACGGTAATTAAACGGTAATTAAACGGCAATTAAACGGCAATTAAACGGCAATTAAACGGCAATTAAACAGCAATTAAACAGCATTTCAAAACAGCCTGTAACAAAGTTACACGAATTTTTCTGTTCTGTTTCGTTGAATTTGAATTTCCAGTGCCTCAAAAAGCCATTAAACCATGAAATCTTTATTCACTTTGAGTGAAAAAACAATAGAAAACGATTTGTTCGCATATACACACACACAAATCCTTCGCCGAATCTATTGTCGATTGTTCGTAAGTCCAGAAGTTGGTGGTTGTTCTGGGGCTTTCTCTCCATCCATTGCTTTTCCTTTATTTGATCCCCACAAAGCGTAAGCGGCTGGGGCATAGGCATAGGCGTAAGGAGAAGCGACAACGGGAGCTCCATAAACTGATGGATATCCGTAGGCGCTGTACGCGAGGTAGTAGGCCTGAAAGAGTGTACTTTGAGGTGAGTTTTGCTTAGAAACACAAGGCATCTATTGCACTAGGGGGTAGGTGATAGAGTTGAAGATCTTTAGAGAAGTTGAGGATCTTTAAGGAAACTTTGAGGATCTTTAAGTGTCTCTTACTTTTTAAATCCACAATTCGCTTACTTTTCTTTTAAGAAATTGCTATTCAGTACAAGTTACAGTCATCTACAGTAATCTACAGCAATCTACAGCAATCTACAGTAATCTACAGCAATCTACAGCAATCTACAGCATTCTATAGTCTTCTACAGTCTTCTACAGTCTTCTACAGTCTTCTACAGTCTTCTACAGTCATCTACAGTCTTCTACAGTCTTCTACAGTCATCTACAGTCTTCTACAGTCTTCTACAGTCTTCTACAGTCATCTACAGTCTTCTACAGTCTTCTACAGTCTTCTACAGTCTTCTACAGTCTTCTACAGTCTTCTACAGTCTTCTACAGTCATCTACAGTCTTCTACAGTCTTCTACAGTCTTCTACAGTCTTCTACAGTCATCTACAGTCTTCTACAGTCTTCTACAGTCTTCTACAGTCATCTACAGTCTTCTACAGTCTTCTACAGTCTTCTACAGTCTTCTACAGTCTTCTACAGTCTTCTACAGTCTTCTACAGTCTTCTACAATCTTCTACAGTCTTCTACAGTCTTCTACAGTCTTCTACAGTCTTCTACAGTCTTCTACAGTCTTCTACAGTCTTCTACAGTCTTCTACAGTCTTCTACAGTCTTCTACAATCTTCTACAGTCATCTACAGTATTCTATAGTCTTTTAAAGCTCTAGAATCTAAAATTCACCTCAGTTTGCCCGACAACAATCAAAGCAGCAATGAAAAGCGAGAAGATCTTGGTAGACATTGTAGATTTCGAGTGAAGAATCGAGTGTGAATTCTTCAATTTCTCATCCACATTTTATACTCACTTTCGTCAATATTCTGAGACAAAAGTCTTTCAAAAAAAGAATGAAAAACGAAAAAAATCAACAGAAATTGGCCATTGCCTAAAAAAAAAGGCGGCAAAGAAAAGAGAGAAACGGGAAAAATCGCGTCGTTTGTTCTCGCTGAACAAGTGAGACTTGAGAGACTTCTTGAGTAAATAAAACGATTGTTGAAATGTAAAAAAGAGTTAGAGCATTGGTAAACTTGGCGCTCTTTGAAGATTTGAAACAAAAAGTCACAAAAAACACAAAAGAAAGCTCGAAAATAGAGAAATCGTAAGATTGATAAAAGCTTTTGTAAACTCTCTCTTTCTCGTGCACTTATTGCTTCATTTTCTAGCAATCGCAAGTCATTCTTGCGAGAATTCTCGATTAGAAAGCGTGTGTTTACAAATTTGCGCAGAAATTTTGAGCAAAACAAAATTCCGCTGATCAATTCTCGTCCGAAAACGGCTTTAAGTTGGAAATTTGATGAATTTCCAAGTGCTTCCATTACGGGAAACCTTCGTAATCTTTATCTAGACTTTTTTCCTTTCTGCTTGTTCACATCAATCATCGTTTTTTTCAATGACACAACGCAATTTTAAGCTTCAAATGTTTCCAGTATAAGTATCTATCCTTTTGAAGCTAGGAATACAAAAAAATGACCCACCGGGATTCGAACCCGCGACCTCTCGATCACTAGGCGAACGCTTTACCAATGAGCCACAACGACATGTGCCTCCGCCGCCAAGGTAGGGCCTTATCTCTCACTAGGGCAAAATAACACAAGAAGTCTAGTAGACATGGCTTTGTTGTTCTCGGGGATTCGAAACCGCGAGCTCTCGATCACTAGGCGAACGCTTTACCAATGAGCCACAACGACATGTACCTCTGCCGCCAAGGTAGGGCCTTATCCCTCACAGTAATGTCTAGTAGTTCTTTGCGCTCCAACGTAAACTAAATCGATCTGGCACACCGAATTCCTCATTTTTCCCGCAGCTTGGTATCTAGCGAGAAAAATTGGGATTTCGGTGTGCCAGATCGATTTAGTTTACCTTGGAGCGCAAAGAACAACCGACCGAAGCCATGACATTCTTGTTATTTTGCCCTAGTGAGGGATAAGGCCCTACCCCTACCTCTCAGCATCATAAGCCTCTCAGCATCATAAGCCTCTCAGCATCATAAGCCTCTCAGCATCATAAGCCTCTCAGCATCATAAGCCTCTCAGCATCATAAGCCTCTCAGCGTCATAAGCCTCTCAGCGTCATAAGCCTCTCAGCGTCATAAGCCTCTCAGCGTCATAAGCCTCTCAGCGTCATAAGCCTCTCAGCGTCATAAGCCTCTCAGCGTCATAAGCCTCTCAGCGTCATAAGCCTCTCAGCTTCATAAGCCTCTCAGCTTCATAAGCCGTAGATAAATTGATTGACGAAATGTAAGCAGCTATATCCATAAAGCTTGTCAATTAGTAAGTAAAGGCAAGACTGGTAAGTTGTAGTCTTGCTTGCTTTACTGCTTAAGTGCTTTACTGCTTTACTTTAGGTTTCAAGCTTTACTACTGCTTTAAGCCTTCAATATCTTATCTTGTTTATTTCAAGAAAAAGTTCCGTCTAGTAGAGATCGTTTGCAATGATCTCATGACCCCGAGAGATTTTGCGGGGGTCCACCCATCCATGAAAAGGCTTAGAACAGTTATATATCACAAATTCTCTCAATTTTCTCAATTTTCTCAATTTTCCCCTTTCGCGACATCAATTTTCATCAATAGAAAAGGCAAAAGATTGATAAAAAAAGAAAAGGAGCAAAGAAAAGAAAAGAAAAAGAATACATAGAGAAATGAGACAAATAGAAAATGTTTCTTTTCGATTTTTTAGCATTCTTTTCAATTGTTGGAAGATGAATTCTCGATCTATTCTTTTATTTTCTTTTTTTTTACTATTTTCTTTCGTATTTTCTTTCGTATTTTCGAAAATCGATGAAATGAAAGAAAAAAAAGCGCTAAAAACCTATGCAATGGTGCCACAAATCGCTTTCTCGCCCTACTTTTGGACGAAATTGAATCAAGATCTACCGTGGATAGAAAAAACGAGGAATCATATGTGAATTTTATCATTTTATCAATCGAATCTTATCCATTTGCCACATTTTTGTACATTTTTGTCCATTTTTTTTTGAATAAAATTGAACTTTTTCTTTTGAAATAAAAAAATTTTCAATTAAAAAGCAAAATTTTGAAATTTTTATGCATTTAAGCTGAATTTTCGATTGAAATTGGGTTCAGAATTGTTTAAAAAAGACGGGGATGGGACAAATGCGTCCTTTTTTTTGCGCACCTGGACACTTGCGCACCTGGACATTTGCGCACCTTGTTTTTTGCTGGAAAAGGCCTTAGGAAAGGTCGTCGAGCTTCGAAAATATTCCATATAAGGGAATCGTATGCGTAGATTGCGGAAAAGCGTTAAGTTGCGTAGTTTTTGCCTTTTAGCCCAAATTTGATTTGTCAGCAAGGTCTGATTTGTCGAAATTCGGAATCTACGCATACGATTCCCTTATATGGAATATTTTCGAAGCTCTACGACCTTTCCTAAGGCCTTTTCCACCAAAAACCCGGTATATGAACTAAATGAGGATATAGTGTAACGTGCTTTATCTTCTGTGGAGTCTCAATGTGGTTTATGTCTGCTTCTGTGAAAGAAACAAGACTTTATTTAACACCTGAATCACCACGCAAAACACTACGTTCCACGTTAACAACACCACGTACAAAAAACCACGAATAAAACACTCACTGAGAAATGAATGAAAACAATCACTTAATAAATGAGAACACGAACCACTTGCAAAAGGGAATGCGAAAGAAATAATCACTTGATCAAGAGCAAAAAATGAATCAAGAAGACTCAAATGAAAGAAAAGACCAACGGAATAAGATAGGAAACCTTTTATAGCCTTTTATTTGTGCAAAAGTTACTTAGTCAACGGTTACGTACGTTCCCAAGGGCACCTTATAGAATTTAAAACCTTTAACTGACGTGTGTGAGGATCGAGAGTTCGATCACAAGGTGCGCAAGTGTCCAGGTGCGCAAAAAAAGGTAGCATTTTGTCCCACCCCCAAAAAGACATAAAATCAATTTCATATTGATTTAAGCAATAGAAACCATTAAACATTGTTTAAATTTAGGTTTTAATCTGGGAAATCGGATCTTGAAAGAGCTCTAGAGCCTAAGCCTAGTTTAAAATTGAAAAACTTAGCAACTTTGAACTCTTTTATCCTCTTTTCTTTCATTTTTATTTAATAAACAATGTTTTTTAATGAATAGCTTTATTAGAAAGCTTCTTTATTCACGAAGCTTATCATTTTTTCACTAAAATCGAACTTTTTCTTCTAAAATAATGAAATTTTCAATTAAAAAACAAAATTTTTAAAACTTTATGCATTTAAACTAGCTTCTCTTTCGAATTTGTGTTCAGAATTGTTTTAAAAAGGATATAAAAGCAATTCACTTCACTAAAATCGAACTTTTTCTTTCAAAATAATGAAATTTTCAATTAAAAAGCGAAAAATTTCAAATTTTCATTCAAATGTTAAAATTTTTATGCATTTAAGCTGAATTTTTGATCGAAATTGTGCTCAGAATTGTTTTAAAAGGATATAAAATCAATTCTATGTTGATTTAAAGAAATAGAAACCATTAAACATTGTTTAAATTTAGGTTTTAACCTGGGAAATCGGATCTTGAAAGAGCTTTAGTTTAAAATTGAAAAACTTAGCAACTTTGAACTCTTTTATTCTTTTATTTTATCTAGTAAATAATGTTTTTTAATGAATAGCTTTATTAGAAAGCTTCTTTATTCACGAATCTTATCATTTTTTCACTAAAATCGAACTTTTTCTTCTAAAATAATGAAATTTTCAATTAAAAAGCGAAAAATTCGAAATTTTTATGCATTTAAGCTGAATTTTCGATCGAAATTGTGCTCAGAATTGTTTTAAAAGGATATAAAATCAATTTCATATTGATTTAAGCAATAGAAACCATTAAACATTGTTTAAATTTAGGTTTTAACCTGGAAAATCGAATCTCGCCGGAGAACCGACGAATTTAACCCCGGATCCAGTATCACACAGCGGTGAACCGTATCCAAAGGCTCAGATCCAACTACGAGCTTTTTAACCGCAGCAATAATGACATACACTTTGAGAGCTGGAATTACCGCGGCTGTTGGCACCAGACTGCTGACCAGACTGCTGGCACCAGACTGCTGTCACCAGACTGCTGGCACTAGACTGCTGGCACCAGACTTGCCCTCTCATTGATCCTCGTTAAAGGTTTAGAGCCTAAGCCTCTTGAAAGAGCCTAAGCCTAGTTTAAAATTGAAAAACTTAGCAACTTTGAACTCTTTTATCCTCTTTTCTTTCATTTTTATTTAATAAACAATGTTTTTTAATGAATAGCTTTATTAGAAAGCTTTATTTTATTCTTTATTCCCTTTTTCTTTAAAGAAACAAACAAACAAACTTTGAAAAGTTTCTTTATGAATCTATTAGATTTTAATAATTCAATCCAATAATTGAATTCAATAATTCAATAATTATAATATTTAAATCAACCTTTTGCAAGATGAGCCAGGTTAGATTGGATCTAGAACAAGTCAAAGCTCATGTCCAGCCCCAGACGTAGGAAACTTTTATACATTTTCTGTGCCATTTTATTGGGTTGGTGAATTGAAAACTGCCGGCTATTGTCATATGTGACAGTTTGAGCACTTTCTTCAGAAGAAACCCATTTTGGTGTCAATGGAAATGTTGTAGAGAATCAAAAATCAAGCTTATATCCAATTTTCCAAAAAGATACACCTAGTAGTTCCCTTTAAAATTTGTGTGTTCTGTGTGTTCTTTGTGCGGCCGCGTAATCGCTTGTCGTCTGGCGCAGGGCTTTTA